AGAGAGAGAGAGAGAGAGAGAGAGAGAGAGAGAGAGAGAGAGAGAGAGAGAGAGAGAGAGAGAGATGGGGGAAAGCGGGAACGTGGGTACCTGCCTGCATTCGCAATGTGGCGTTCCTCATTGTTTGGATATGTCCCGGCCATAGTGGGACTTGCGATGCGATGTGGCGGTAATATGGTTGGATGCAGAATTGGTTGTGGTCTGGTCCTGGTTTGGGTTTAGGGTTGTATTTGGTTTGGCTCTGGTTAGGTGTTTCCTTTGGTTATGGGCTGGCTTGGTTCCATTCATTGTCGCTCGTGGTCTGTTTTTTTGTTGGGGGGGGGGGTTGGTATAGTTCTGGTCTCTGGTTGGTTTCACGTTGGCTGGTTTTGGGTTGAGTTGGCGTGGGTCCTGGTTCATATTTGGTTTGGTTGTGGTGTTTGATTTGGCTCTGGGTTGCTCTGGTTTTGGTTTGAATTGGTTTGAATTGGTTTGGTATTGGTTTGGTATTGGGTTGATTTTGGTTTCAGTGTGGTTTGGATCTGGTTTGTTCCTGGTTCGGTTTTTCTCTTTCGCTCATCTGTGAGTTGGTTTGGTTCTTGTTTGGTCCTTAACAGGTTCTGGGCCTGGTCTTTGGTGCTGGGTTAGTATTGGACCTGGTTTGCTTTTGGTTCGGTTTCAGTTGAGGTTTTGCCTTGATTTCGGTTCTGCTTCTATTTGCTTTGGGCTTGGTTCCAATTTGGCTCAGGTTGGTTTAGTCTGGTTTTGGTTTGGTTCGGTTTGGTTTCTGTTCGGTTTGGTTTCGGTTCGGTTTGGTTGAGATTGGTTTCGGTTTGGTTTCGGTTTGGTTTTGGTTCAAGTGGGTTTTGGTTTTGGTTCTGGTTTAGTTATGGTTCTGGCTGGTGTGGAGTCTGAATTGGTGTTGGTTCTGGTTTAGGTTTGATTTGGTGAACGGCTTATTAGGTTGGTTATTAGGTTGGTTTAGGTCTGGTTTCGGTTTGGTTCAGTTCGGTTTTGTCTTGGTTTGGTTTCAGGTCGTCTCTGGTTGGGTTTAGATCAGTTTAGGTTCGGTTTCAGGTTGTTTTTTGTTCAGTTCGGTTTCGGTTCGGTTTCCGTTTGGTTCTGGTTCCGTTCTGGTTCTAGCCGGTTTCGGGTTCAAATTGCTTTTGGTTCTGGTTTAGTTTCGATTTTGTGCATGGCTTCGGTTGGTTTAGGTCTGGTTTTGGTTTTTGGTTCGCTTCAGTTCTGTTTTGGTTTGGTTTCGGTTCAGTTCGGTTCGGTTCTGGTTTGGTTTTGGTTTGGTTTTAGATTGGTTTAGGGTTCGGTTTCAGGTCGGTTTTTGTTCAGTTCGGTTTCCATTCGGTTTCAGTCCGGTTCGGGTTCCGTTTTTCTGGTTCTAGCCGCTTTCGAGTTCGAGTTGGTTTTGGTTTCGTTTCTGGTTTAGGGTTTAGATTTGCTTCATGGTTTGCTTCCAGCCCACGTTCGGGTTCTAATTTCCAGCTCTAATTTGCTTTCCGGTTTTTCGGTTTGGTGCCGGTCTGGTTGTAATGAGCGGCGCACCCTCAGGTAGTGAAAGTGGGCAACGAGTACGTGCTTCAATCTGATCCGTCGATCCGTGTGAGCGCCCGAGCGCACAAGATGAGCAAGAGCCGCGGGAACGTCATCAATCCTGACGACGTAATTCAGGAGTTTGGAGCGGATTCTCTCCGCCTTTATGAGATGTTCATGGGGCCTCTGAGGTAAGCGCAGAAATGTGTGTCCGCTGTCCAAAAAGG